GGCTGGGGCTCCATGAGGGTCCAGTCAGCTAGAAACTGGCTGCTGGGTCTCTGTGGGGCCTCTTCTGAGGCAGGTGCTCCAGGCCAGGTAAGACCTACTCGGCCAAACCCGACAAAGGAGCCAGAGGACGAGAGCAGCGCAGAGTGGTGGCCCCGACAGCTCAGCCACTGCATGCCCAGCCCAGCCRAGGCCGCCWGGCATGTCCCAGCRTGTGCCTCCTCCGAGGTCTGGGCTGCCTCACCAGCAGGCACAGCCCCCTCTRTCCAGCCAAGCCCTTGACAGCAGGCGTCAGTTGCCATCTGGGCAAGAGTGAGTGGCAGCAGGTGCCCCACAGGGCCATCTTTCACCGGCAGTGAAATCTCTTGCTGGAGAAGTGACCTGGAGACTAAGCCGGAGTGCAGGGTGGACACAGGCGGCCAAGAGCCTCACTCCTTGGGACGATGGCTGCTGCTGCTGGCAAGCAGGGCCAAGCTAGGGTGTGCACTTGCTGGGGCCACGCTGGAGGCTGCACCCACCTCTATGTGACCACCAGCAACTTCCTGTGACTCCAGGGACCTCACGGTCCCACCTGAAGCTAGAGCAACCATGGCTCTCTGGCCACTGCTGGAGGAGAGACGACGTTGTGACAGCTGTGACGACAGCAGCCCTGGAAGTCTCGCTGGATGGCAGCAACAGCCTCAGAAACAAGGAGGTGACTAAGCAGAGTCCCCAGGGCTGTTGGCTTTTCCCTTTGGAAGCCCACATGGTCCCTGTGCTACATCTTGGGCTGCTCCAAGTGGAGAAAGGGATTCAGGGGGGGCTCCCACCCCAGATCATGGGTGGCGGTGAGATCCGCGCCCCAGGCGGCTGGCAGACGCGTTGCCAGGCCCACGGTGCGCGGAGCTGCCTTCCCACAGGCGACAGGTGGGAGGCCTCTGGAAACGTCTCATCTCCCATCTCCCTGGGAGATGCGGGGAGCTGGGGAGGCGTGTCATCCGCTTCCTGCGGGGAGGCTTGGGAGGGGCAGGCACCCCTTCACAGGGGCTGCAAGGCCCCTGCCTCACAGGCATTGCCACCCGGCCTGCCCTGTGGCCGAAAGCCCCCGRAGGGCAAGGAACACGGGCCATAAGCTGGGACACTGCTAGCCTTTCCTGCTMGTCTTTCCCGGGGTGTCTCAGAGAGTGTGTGTGATGATCCCAGGTCTTGCCCCTTTCACACGTGCTCCCACCATTTTCCTTTCCTACGAGGTACCCCCAGGCCCCAGAGGGGAGGCCAGAGCTCCAGACACCTCCCACAATACGCAGGACAGATGCTGAAGGCCACTACCCAGCGTCACCTGGGCAGATGTGCTCCCGCTCACAGAGACCACCACCCAGGCCACAGGGCTCCCGAGGTGAGGCCTTCCAGAGAGGCTGCAGGACAGCCTCCTTCTCCTGGTCAGGAAGCCCAGGTGCCCTGAGGTGCAGCCCGGATGGCAGCCGGGTGAGTGTGTCCTGGAGACTCCCACCTCTGCCACCAGCACCAGCCTGTGGCTCCTGCCCTCRGGRCCTCAGTYTCCCCATCTTTAAAATGGAGGACAACTCGTTTACACATGGAGCTATTTGGAGGCCAAAATGAAACTGAAACTGTCACCCACGTCCTTCCATTTAGAAGTCAGGATGGACTCGATTTCACACACRCCGTCTTGCACTCACAGCCCCACAGCTTTGCCGTGACAGTCCTGTGCTCCCACGGTGGGGGAAGGAGAAGGAGGTGGCCCTTCGCCCACAGACCTGMGGGCCTTTGCTACGTGGCCCTCCCTCAGATGGATGGGATTCAGGGCCACTGCTTTCCCATTTGAACAATGAGGGGACACTGGATGACAGCTTATTTTCGTTGTGACCTGGACCTTCTGCAACTCCCAGGAACAGCTTTCTGTCTCTCCACAAACATTAATGGGGTACGTGAGGCTCGCCCACGCTGGAGGACAGCAGCGTGGGAGCGTCCCAGGCTAGGAGTCCTGGCAGACTGCCACTGGGGGTCCAGACAGGAGGGAAGAAGCCTGGGGTGAAAGCGGAAGCCAGGTCTGCAGGGAGCCTYCTGAAGGAATTCAGTGGGGTCCTGGGGATGCTTGAGCCCTGGGCCCTGTTGAGGTGACTGAGGAGGACACCTCTTCAGGGCAAGCCCTGTGCCGCCCTGGGGCTTTAAGAGTAGCCTCTTCCTCTCTGAAGCTGGCCCACACTGTGGGGGTCCTTCCCACCCCCTGTGTGGAGCTGGGAGTCTCCTCTTCCTGCAGGGAGAGCTCCTACTGGCTCTCCAAGGCCTCACCTGGACACCAGCTCCCGCCGACGGGGTTGGTGTCTCAGTAATTACTCTCAGGAACGGCCAGAGAGTAACTCGTAAGTGCCAAGGGCCATCTGACCTCGCAGCTCCTGAGCTCCGTCCTGCAGCTCGAGAGCAAACACTGGCAATTCCAGAACAAATCATGGACAGGGCTCTATTCCAATAAGACTTTATTTGCAGACACTGAAATTTTAGTTTTATGCACTTTTCACAAGTCACAAAATGTTAGACTTCCTTTAAGTTTTTCCAACCATTTAAAAATATAAAAACCATTCTTAATTCACAGGCCTTCAAGCCACTGCTGGCTGATTCCTGCTCTGGCCTCTGGCTGTTGGAAGCTGAGGTCCTCCCCAGCCAAACCGGGGAGCTCCTTGGGAAAGCAGAAYGCCAGGGCCCCACCAGCTTCACAAATTTAAAATCCACGTTTTAACAAATCTCTGATGACTCATGTGCACTTTAAAGTTAAAAAAAATACTGACGCCTAAGTGTCACCCCCAGAGATTCTAATTTAATAGGAACAGGGCACGGCCTGGACACGGGCAGCTTTTAAAGCTCCCAAGTCTGTTCTAATAGAAAGCAAAATTCAAGTACCTGACCCCAGAAAGATGTCCCAGGGACTGAGACCTGCCCCTCCTCCTGGCACCCGAGCTCCCAGGCCACTCCTTCATGACGAAGCATGTCACTGTCTCAGGCTGAGCCCCTCTGGGACCAGGAGCCCTCTGATCCTGACTCATGGAGATCTCACATGAGGGGCTACCCTCCAGGACTCGGTCTCCTCCTTGTAAGGAGAGGAGCCCACACTGGTTTGGGAGCTACAAGTCCACACTGGGCGTTGGGCCTGGCGGCCACCTCGGCCTCCTGCCTCATCATCCTGGCTTCTCTGCAAACCCTGAGCTTCTCCCCTTTCCAGGGCTCAAAGCCCTCAGGCTGGCACGGGCCCCGGGCTTTCCAGGAACTCTGGGGGAAAGGGACAGAGAGGAAAGCCACCAACTCAGCAAGCTGCCTGGGCCCCAGAGGCACAGGCCACACCCCCCACAGGCCCAAAGCCCCCTCCTCCCTCCACTGAGTCCCCCTTCTTTAGCCCCCACCTCTATTCCTCCACCTGGGGTGGCCACAGGACCAGTTTCCTCCTAGAGCAAAGGAGGGACAGGCACACAGTGTCAGCTCAGGACAGCAGTCCTGGCCAGCCTGGTCAGAGGTGCCCAGGCCCCTGCAGAGTGCTCCTGGGGAGGGCTGGACACAGCGGAGCCCCCCTCCAGCAGCCTCGGTAGGCCTGCCACACCGTCCATCCACAGCCTGCTCCACCACAGCTGGGTGCTCTCCTCTCACATGCAGCTCTGCATCCCACAAGAACCATCCTAACTCTCTCCAAGACCTGCCCCTAAAGACCCCTCCAGAGGACAGCTTCTGCCTCCCGGAGCCCCCAGTCCAAGGCTGCAAAATCCTGGCAGGCAGACCTGGCAGAGGCCTGAGAAATCATCCCTCTTCTCACCTAGGGGAAAACGCAGGCCCAGGAAATAGGAGCGGAGTCCGGGATGGTGGCAGACTGAGGGGGAGCCTCCTTTCCTCATCTGAACCCTCCACCTCTGCCCAACTGCAGGGTCCCTCCCTCCACCCAGGGAGGAAAGGACGAGACTGTAGGGCTCACAGTCCACAGGGGGAAGGCAGAAGCCAGAGAAGGGCCTGCAGGACTAACTCTTGCCTTCCACCAAGAACAGAATGGCAATGCCCTGTCCCTGCCTCCTCTGCCTAGGCTGTGGAGACCAGAGTGGGCAACTACAACTCACCTGCTTCCCAGAGTAGAGCAACAGAAACAGCTATCATTTATTGAGCACTTACTAAGTGCTGGGCACTGAACTAAGAACCATGATTCTCTGAGGTCATAATTTTATATCCCCACTTAATAATCAGGATGAGGAGCAGAGAGATTAATCAACAGGCCTAAGGTCACACAGCTAGTAGGAGAATGGTGGGGAGGGGCACTAGAGAAAAGCATTTAAGCTCCAAGCCATCTCTCATCTCCTCATTCCCTGAGCTTAAACCCAGRTCTGTCTGGTTGTTTCCCTGGGGCTCTCAGACGAGGCTGGCAGTGAGCCTCTGGAGGCCACGCTGAGATCTGTCCACTTAGCAGATGCCTCAGAAGTACTGGGGTTAGAACCAAGAAGTCGTGAAAACCTCCCAGCTCTGCGGGCTCTGTGGTCTCTCCCTCCTCCAGGGGGTGCTCAGGGAACTGACCTTCCCAAGAAGGGAACAGGAGAAGAAGTGGCCTGCACGGGCCTCCTGGAAGGTGGCCAGGCCCCTTGGCACTGGACCTGCCTCCTCCTATCCCTTCATAGTTAGCTTTCAGTTAAAAATAGCTCTCCCACCCCGGCTGCACACCTACCTGCTGGCCCTGCAGGGAGTGCGTCTGAGCCACCCTGGGGTGACAGCCAGCCTGGGACAGAACCCACAGTGAGGAAGGGTTCGTGGAGCAGGAGGCTTTGTGAAGGAGACACGGAAGGGGGCGTGGGATCACGGTCCCCCACTGCCCTGTGGCTCGGGCACCCTCTCCAGGGCTCCTGCACAACCTGCCCCAGGAGGCTCACCCAGCCTTGGCCTTCAGAGTCTGCTGGGGGAGGGCTGGGGGCCACAGGGCAGCTCCTCTGGGGCAGCCCACTGTCCCCACGGTCCCGTCCATCTCTTCCCGGGACGCCCTCCTCTCACTTGCAGCTCTGGAGCCGGGTCCTGTGGTGCTTCTCCTCCGTCAGCAGGGGGATGAAGGTGTCGCTGTGGGAGAGCTTCAGCCGGCTGCCCCAGCTTGTCCCCTCCTTCCCCGCAGGCTCTGGGGGGAGGATGTCCAGGTCGCTCCGGGAGCCCCCAGGCTTGCCCTCACCTGCGCTGCTGGAGTTGAGCTCCATGAGCTCCAGCTCGTGCTTGGCGGCCGTCTCTAGGACGCGCTGCTTGTTGTAGTACCTGACGAAGTTATTGATGATGGGGTGGATGGGCAGGGCGATGGCAATGACCCCACACAGGAAGCTAATGGCCGCGTTAAGCTTGCCCAGCGTGGTCTTAGGGTAGATGTCACCGTAGCCCACAGTAGTCATGGTGATGATGGCCCACCAGAAGGACTGGGGAATGCTCTTAAACAGGGTCTCRGGGTGGCTCTGTTCCATGGTGTAGCCCAGCGCCGAGAAGACAAAGATGCCCACGGCCAGGTACATGAGCAGCAGCCCCAGTTCCTTGAAGCTGCGCTTGAGGGCGTAGGTGAGGGTCTGCAAACCCGAGGAGTGGCGCGCCAGCTTGAAGATGCGCGCGATGCGCATGATCCGTAGGGCCTGCACCGCCTGCTGCACGTTGGTCAGCTCCATCATGCGGGCGCCCAGGTGCGTGAGCGTGAGGCTCACGTAGAAGGGGAGGATGGCCAGCACATCCACGATGTTCATGAAGGACAGGGCGAAGTGCAGCTTGTTAGGCGAGGAGAAGAGGCGCAGCAAGTACTCGAGCGTGAACCAGCCGATGCACGCCGTCTCCACGTTCTCCAGCGTCGGGTGCTCCACGCGGTTGCCCTCAGCGTCCAGCACCTGCAGCTCCGGGATGGTGCCCATGCACATAACCACTGACGAGACCAGGATGAGCAGGAAGGACAGCACGGCCACCACCCGTGCGGGGCACGACGACTCGGGCTTCTCCAGGAACTTCCAGACGCACTTCTGGCAGCGGCGCCAGCGGCCCTCGGCCGCGTCCACGCCCAGGTCGTCCAGGATGAGCTGCACTCGGCGCGCGATCTCCTCCAGCTCCTCGCGCTTCTCGCTTAGGTGACTCTTGCAACAGTCGTCCAAGAACTTGAGGTCCACCTTCCAGAAGTCCATCTCGTTCTTGAAACAGATAGGGCAGATGCCCTTCTTCATGTGCACCTCCCCGAAATAGTACACCTCTATGACACACTTGAACGCGTCCGGGTCGCGGTCAAAGTAGAACTCGCGCTTGCCGGGGTCGTAGTCGTCGCACAGGGAGAAGATGGTGTCGTAGCCCCCCGCCAAGCAGTTGATGAGCTCCGCCAGCCGGGTCTCAGGGTACTGGCTGAGGAGGTCTCCGTAGAGCACCTGCCGCACGCCCCCCACGTTGACGACGATCTCAATGTCGTCGCCGGCAGCGGAGCCCTGGCTGCCCGCCTCCTGGAGGCTGTGCTCCCCGGACCCGTCCATGCTCCCGGTGTGTGCCCTCGCAGCCCCGGCTCCGCGTCCCCGGCCGCCGCCTCCGGGGGTCCGGCGGGTCCCACCAGTGCGCGGCTCTCGGGCTGAGCCTGCGGGGAAGGGCGGTCACAGCCCGCAGCTAAGGGCTGGGTGGCCCTGGCGGGGGCATGCACCCGGCGGCGGGGCTCAGGGCAGGCATCCGGGCGCCGGGGCGCGCCGGTGGGGGTTCTCCAGGCCCGCGGCCCCGCTGGGGGCACTCACCCCCGCTTCCGGGCGGCGTGTTGTGCCGCTTGGCTCGACCTCCCCCGGAGGGCTCCTCTCGTGGGCCGCAGGCAGGTTCTCCTTCCCGGGGTGCGCTGGCAGCGCGGGCCGGTTCCGGAGCTGCCGGACCCGCGGCCGTGCGCCGAGGTGTGTGGAGAGGGAACTTGTCTCGCTTTGCCCAAGCCGTTTCCAAACACAATAGGAATTCCAGCCTGACGTCAAGAGCTTTTCAACTGTACCCTCTTCTGGTGAGATTCTGCACGGCACGCGCGGCAGCTGCAGGGGAACGGGTTAACCCTTGGGCAGACGGGCACAGCTGCCGCGCCCGAGCGCCACGGCGCGCACCGGCTGCCAGGCCCTCCCCGCGCAGCGGGTCGCCGAGGGCCGGGACCCGGGCTACAAAGCAGCAGGGCTCCTCTCGCTGAAAGCCCTCCCGCTGCTGCTGGAGAGTCTACGATAAAAACGCGGCCGCCTGTTGCTCTGCAGGAAAAGCATCCCCAGGGTCTACTGCTCTGTCCCGGGTCCCTCCTGTCTCAGACTTGAGCCGGTCCTGAGGGTCTCCTGCCACCCTCTAAGACTGCCCTGCTGTGGGTGTCACCTCACCTGAACTACATTGAGGACATCTAGTCCAACCTCCTCTAGGACAGAAGGAAGTTGTACCTTTCCCTTGTCCTGGGAAGGTGGAGCTGTAATGGGAGGTGAGGAGAGTGGGGTGGACCTCCCCTGCACACCAGCTCATTCAGAGTCAGGAGGGTCCCCGCTTGGCACTGGTCACCATGGCTTCAGGACAGTGCCCTTGGACCACGTACTGCCCACCACCCCTGGACTTAATTCTTCCCACCCTTTGAAGCTCAGCCCCCAGTGTTCTCACCTCTGCCAGGTCTCCCTGGACTGTGCTCTTTCCCTCCTCCTCCCTCCCTCCCTCCCTCCACCCAGGAATTAGGGCCCCTTGAGCTCACACAGCCCCCTACTGTCCAGTAGGATCATAGATCAGGCCAGACACCAATTCCCTGGTCTGCCTCCTCCCCCATCCACCCCTTCAGATTATTCCTGGGACTGTCCTTAGTACCGAGCCTGGACCAGGTGCTGGGCAGGTGGAAGAGGGAAGAAAGAGAGGATTCACTGGGCCCAGGCTCCACACCACATTGTCATGGCCCTTAATTGCTCAGACACCCCACAGAGTGGAGCTCCAGCAATTTCTGAAGCACAGTGGTGAGGAAGACATGGTCTCCCAGGCACRTTCCATATCTACAGTCGGAAGACAGGTGTCCCCTGTGCACCGAGTGGGCCTGGGCTGTGTTGTGGAGAGGGGCTGCTGGATGGCCAGCAGGTGGTCTTCCTTCATGGTCAGGTTTTGGGGGAAGACAGCCAGCGTCTCATTGGAGGGTTCTGCCCAGAGGACTGCGAGCCACCCTAAAAAGCCACCCTAAATCTTAATCTCAAATAATTAACAAATAATAAAACACAAATACTCAGAAATATATTTACAAAAATGAAGCCCTTGATGAATCTAGTCCACATGGGTTCTTGAACTAGACAAGACAAAATGGCTCTGATGGTTTATTTAAGGGTACATCAAAGGCAGCATAAGGTTTCAAGGGCAGAGTCTTGCTTTGTGAAGTCTTGCAGTCAGCAGGTTGATTGACATCTCRGCAGGCCACACCCATCAGGTGCGAGGTGAGATCTTAGGCAGAGGGGGAGGGGGAAGTTCACCTGTATCAGGTGTTCAATCCATGTGGAGAGTGCCCCAGGGAGTTCCCAGTGCCAGCTTTATCCCCTCAGGAGGCTACTATGCACAACATAGTCCACACACAGCCCACAGACCGCTTATGATAGGACACAGGCTTTCCCTCCAACTTCATAGGGGCTCAAAACAGACCCCCGCACCTTGACCTTGGGCTTCCAGCCTCCAGAACTGTGAGACAGGAGGTATCTCTTGATTTGGGTGCCCAGTCCCTGGTGCACTGTCAGGGTGCCCCAAGCTGACCCTCCATTGTCCTTACCTTGTGACCCCAGCGCCCCTGCCTGGTCATTGTGAAGGGTTGGACAGTGATTCCAATGGCTTTAAAAAAACACCAGCCCTGTGCCTTCCCATTGAAGGTCACTGTTGCATAGGAATTTGGCCAGCAAGTCAAGATCCATTTCCAATTTCCCAAAGGGTTAAAAAAAGAAAAAGAGGAAGAAAAAACCTCTCAACTTTGGCTAAAAATGGAAAGTTTCTTCTGTGGTGTACTCAGTCCTGTGCGTGGCTTCTGTGGGAATCACACCTTGCATGACACCATGGTGGGGGGAGGGGGGAGCAAAACATCTTCTGTTGGACATGAGAAGCAGCAGCATTTTTGACGCATGTGGATTTTGCAGTTAAATGGGGAGGGGAAGAAACCTGGTGTATGCAGGGAGTGTGAGAAGCAATTGTTTGAGCTGTGCTTTTCTTTATTAAATGTGTGGGGKTTTTTTATTTGTTGAATAATGACATTTTAGGCTACAGAATGCTCAATTTCTGTGATGCTAATTAAAACCAGCACATGTGAACCTAAGTGATTTGTCTAGACAAGAATGATGCAAGCTGTAATCTATTCCCTTTTTATGAACTAATCAGTTCTGTTCAGTTAATACTTCTTTGTATTTTGCTGAATTTAATAATACCTTTCATTAAGATTCAGTTCTGAACTCCACTGAAAATTTACATTTCATTATTGGCTGTGCACCCATCAGCACCAGCCTGTAGCTCATCCCCGCCTCCTTCCTCCTCCTCCTCCTCCTCATGCCAGCCCCTTGCCCCAGGAGAAGAACGATTGACACAAGGCTCATCCCATCCATCCGCTGCTCTCTCAATGACCTGGACCCTGGAAGGGGGAGGAGCGGAGTGGGGGTGCTGCTGGATGGAGAATGGAAGGATGTAAAACCGAATCAGTGAATCTTTTTCTTTTTCTTTTCTTTCTTTCTTTCTTTCACCCCAGTGCTAAGCTTCCTTTTTCTTTTTAATGCCTCCATTTTTTTTTTCAAGACTAAAATGGAACTAGTTACCCTTTTCTTTCTGACTACAAAATCTTATTGATTCATCAGGTTTGGTAGATGAGAGACCAAAGCTGCATGCAGAGGCAGAAGGGAGGAAGGAGAGCTGACCTCCTCGCTTGCATTTCCCCAGCTTCCTGGAGGCCACAACCCAGGGCTCCCTGGCTCCTGCACCTCCCTTCAGCTGTGACTCACCCTCTGGGAGGTGGGTGGGAGGGCTTCATGCTGGCAGGGTTACCACATGCCCTAGATGTGCAGAAAGATGTCAGAGACTTTGGGTGCTGCAGCTGGGCTAAAGAGTAGAGCCATTGTAGATTTGGTCTATGTGGCTAAGATGCCTTGTGAAGAAGCCTCCTTAGGGAAAGCCCCGATTTCCTCAAACCCATAGTATTTCTGAATATGCTCAATCTTTTTAAATTTTTAGCAGYAGGAAGAGTAGAAATGTACCTTTTTATAATTTAAATGACTTTGATTATCACTTCAGTGATTTTAGAAGCTCTATTTTCATTCAGTTTTTTAGCTATTTATCATCTCGACTTCTCATTAAAACATGACCTTTCTGGACTCCACAAGACAATACATTCAGTCATTCATTTCAGTTGCTTTGATATAGATTTTGATTACTAAAGCAATCCCTATAAGGACCTGTTTCAAATGCCTGCCACACCACGTCCCCTCCCTGTTTAATGAGCCCCTGTTCTACGCTGGATCCTGGGTCGTGTGTGAGAAATACAACATATAAGTGGCACTGTTCTCACCCACAAAGAGTATCCATCCTAATGGGCTTGGTAGTTACAGTAAAGTCTAGCTCAAGAAATGATTGTTAATTCTCAAATTCCTTCAAAGAGGGGGCTGGGGATGTGGCTCAAGCGGTAGCATGCTCGCCTGGCATGTGATAGACCCAACCTGATCTTTTATTAAAATTGGGAGCCATCTTGCCACAAAGCCATGAAAAGCTAATTTCGGCTTTACTATAAATTACTGCAAATTCTGAACCTGCTTGGAATGCCTGCCCGTGCCTTGAACTCACCCATGCCTGGCTCTCTGACCAGATAGCAGCCCTCTCTGAAACTTTAGTGACACCTCATAAATATTGGCCTTCCCTGGCCAGACAACGACCCTCTCTGAGGCTCTAATGGTCTTTATAAATTCTGATGTTGGGCCAGCAAAAAAAAAAAAAAAAAAAAATGTAAACTACCATTAGTGTGATGCTTGTCAGAGTTCTGTTATCTGTAACCCCCCTTTGTGTAACTTTCTGGGCTATAAAGCTGGGCTATAGGAAAGGTGGGGCTGCTGTTTTGTTCACGCCGTTTCGGGAGGGAAAGGCAGCCCGGCCGGTCGAAATAATAAGCTTGCTTTAATTTGATTTTAATTGGAGTCAGTGGTCTTTTCTTGCATCCTGGTCTAACACATGTGTGTGGCCTGGGTTCGATCCTCAGCACCACATACAAACATACAAACAAAGATGTTGTGTCCGCCGAAAACTAAAAAATTTAAAAAAATTTTTWAAAAATTCCTTCAAAGACACAAACTACTAAAACTCACTCAAGAAAAAGGGATGTTAGGAATAGCCCTCTATCTATTAAATAAGCTGGAAACCTTCATACAAAGAAAACTCCATGCTCAGATGGCTTCCCTGAGTATCCATCAAATGTTTTAAGAAATATTACAAATTCTACRCAAACTCCTCCAGAAGGCAGAAGAGGAGAAAACACTCCCAGCTCAGTCCAGGAGGC